CCACGAAGGACTCGACAGCAGAGCGGCTTCCGGCGACCTTGACGCTTCGGTGGATAGGGGTTCGAATTTCGCCGCGGAACACATGGGAGCTAAATCAACTCTTTTGAGCTCTTTCCATTTTCAAGACCATCAACTTCAATATGAGTTTTGCGACGAGAACCCACCACTCTGCCTGCTCCTGAATGCTTGGCTTTCTGAGATCCCTGGCCGAGAAAGCTCGCGAGAATAGGCAGGCAGCGATCTGGCAAGTTTCGCCCTTGCCAGCGCACTCTTTGCCTCAGCGAACAGAGATGTGACGCTGTTTTGCTGCTTCAGACTGAGAGACTTAGCCGACTTAGCCTCGGCTGTGGCTGAGGCCAGCGCAGAGTCGCTCGACCTCGTCCTTGACCAGGCCGACCACGAGGCACATGCCCTGGGCCTCGAGCACACCCCCACATGCACCTGAACTCCCGTTGCGCAACAAGTGATCCTGCCTTCGCACCGGGCCGGCCACCAGAGAGTTCGAACTGCATGGCCTCAGATCGGACCTGCTCAAGTGTGATTTTCCTTCAGCTAGTCAGCTAGTCTAGCACCAGCGGCTCGCTCACCTCTGTCTTCTTCGAAAGCGCTTGGGGCTGCAGGTGAAGCTTCACTTTGGAGACAAGCCAACGACACATGCTTCCAGCCTACAAAGCCTACACTGCAGCACGAAGCAATCCGAGAAGCTCCGCCAGACAGGACGGAAGCAGAAGCAGAAGGGCTCCCAGCATGGCCTTGATGAGCCGCAACCCAGTCTCAAAGTCAAAAACGCCCGCAGCGGTCAGCGCGACGTATTCGCCCAAGGAGAGCCCTTCGTCGAGGGTGCATGTTCACGACTTGTGATTACGAGAGCCCGACAATGCTGGCTTGAGCGAGGGGTGGCGAAGGTTTTAGTAAGTATTCGGGCGAGTTCTGCTGCGGCGGACTTTGTGATTGCCAACACTACTTACGGGGCATATTCATTGATTGCAGTAGAAGCTTGTAGGAGCCGGATTGATGCTTGGGACTTAAGCCGCGGCTTCGCAGTTGATGAGCCTTCAAAGTTCATGACTCAGGGCAGAACACTAAAAAGAAGCTTCTGTCTCTCAGGCAACATGCCGCACTGGGTGTCAAAACGCTCCCGGGAAGGTTGAGGCGGCTGTGGGCGCACCAGCGACTGCTCGACATCTGCTGACTTTGTCCTCCTCCTCCAGCTTCAACCTGAAGAGCGGGGTCTGTTTGCGGCGCTGTCTGAATGTGGCTCTGTAGATGCAGGCTTCCCCAAAGACATCCGATGACATCAGTGCACCCACCTTTGGCTCTTCGCAGCAACATGGCGCAACACAAATCCCAGCTGCTTGGCTCCAAGCTGTTCTAACGCGGCCATGCCGGCTATGTACCTGGGCAGCCCGGGCATCAAATTATGGATCTTGCTCTATCAAACCTATGGAAAAAACCAGAGCCTCCCTGGCATGGCGTCTTTGCTCTTAGATCTAGCTGTCGAAACGGAAGCATCTCATGATCCCAAGACACGGAACTAAAGCAGGCCTGAAGCAGGGCCACGAATTCGAGATGTGAGCAACGACTAGGACCTACATTTCTGGGGCCAAGCTACTGGTGAGCAGGGCCTCCCAACCGAACTCCAAATCCGGTCCCAAACTGCGCACCCTGCCACTAAGAAACCGGTTGACCGCGACTAGTGACCAGTTGTCGTGGTCTTACATGGGCTTACGTCGAACGATACCCGTACTGCATCTGGAGTGTGTAAGTACTCGAAATGTCGTGCTTCAATCCAAGGACACATGCACCCTATGTAGCTGCTTCAGCAGCCTCATGTGAAGCTCTGTGGGCGGCACATCGCAGGTTGGCAGTATTTCGTCTCTGCTAACCTTCAGTCAAAGACGACTGACACTTGACGGCAAAGCGTAGACCAAAGAGCACACCTCGACAGCTGTCTGCTTGAAAGCTGCAGTCATGAGTGCTGCTGCCGTATGCGGAGCTATGCGGGCTTTGATACCAGCAAGAACAGCAGCACGCAGCGGCAACACAACAGGAACCGCCATCAACACCATTGCCACGACAACACCTCAGCAGCAGCGGGCCGCGTCGGCAGCGGCAGCGGCACGGAAAAGGCAGCGGCCACTACAACTACAACTGCAACCACGGCAAATTAGCAGCAAAAACACCGTCAAACACAATACTGACAACCATCACTGTTACCGCTACTGCTGCTGTTGCTCAACCGCTCACGCGGACACGGCATACTCACTCTCGTATGAAAAGAACATTGGGGTTGCTGACACTCTTGACCGGCACTGGCACCATTCAAACAAGAACGACCGGCACTCTGCGTCAGCTAAAATCTTGGGCAATTACTTGTCCTCCGGACCATTTTGAAGGATCTCTGCCAGGTCGTAGCCGAGAACCTGCGAGCAGCTGCCGGGTCTGCTGCGATGGCCTCAGGCCTCATGGTCTGTAAAGTATACACGTCTGTAATATTTACGTGGAGCTCTTACCTGGGATAAGCTGCAGATGACATCTTGAGTCCTGTGCTAGCAGAGAGAACTCGGCAGCAGAACTATCCACGCAGCGAAGCGAATGCCATGAAAAAGAACAAGTGTGCGCGTAACTATGAACAAACACAGCGACACCCGCCCAACTGCTGATCTCCCCGGACTTCTTGCGCTTCCGATGTCGCCTCCTTTGCTTTTGCGAGCATGGCCTTAACCGCCGGAAGGTCCTGCAGTGTGATCCGGTGAGGGTCCAGGTTCTGAAATGGAAACACGTGTAAGCTTGTCTGCCGTAGATAAACCAAGGAACGTGCAATACAGCTACTCAGGACTTTCCGTAGTCTACGAAGCAACACTGGGAGGTCCTTCTGCTTCTGCAGCATGCCAACGTACTGTGCCCCCTGGCCTGCCAGAACAGGCTTGGACTCTTGGACATGCGCTTCAGAATCCTGACCGGAGCTGATCAGGCCTGGGAACACCAAGCAAACCGGAAGCGGCTTCGAGGTGTCCTGCAGTGGCTGCATTCGCTGGACTCCTAATTAACATACATGACCGTTGTCCGTGGGATGTAGCTTAGTTCCCCCCAGCAAGTGAGCATGCACCCGTATGCCTCCTCATCACTGTAGCCTAGGCCTCTCGGGCCTGTAAGGGCCTAGGGCTCCCGCTTCGGGTTCACTGGCAGTGAGAAGTAGAAGTGAGAAGATGGCTCTAAACGAGACGGCTTTGCCTCGGCCACGGCCGGGTCCAGGCCAAGGGCTCGCGCGAATTTGCCCCGTGGCTTCAGCTGCGCCTCACAAAGTTCCCGCTTTTAGTACAACCCGGGGCTGCGGAATGAATAAGCTTCGGCTGTTCTGAGCGTGCCTCCTTCTTGCTATCGTACTCCTCCGGCTTTCCGCCTTTGAACACCACCTGTCTCGTGCTAGAGGCTCGCATGACTGCAACACCTCTTCCGGACCACCGCGTTGTGGGAGCTGAGCATCTGCTTTCATGGAAAACGCCGAAGAATGTCCGCTACAAGTACCGAACATGCCATCAAATGCAATTTCGGCGCATTTAGCTCAACAGCATGCTTCCGGACAAGGGGGTCGGTGCGGCACAAAAAGATGCTGAAACTGGCACACCACCCCAAGGGTGCTCGCTTTGGGAACTGTGCTGTAAATCTTCGTTGGGCGATTTTTTGAGAAGCCGCTAGTCACGCTAGTCTTAAATTCCGTTTGCACCGGCACGAGTTTGGTGAAGAGAAAATGGAATTCATTGCTGGGATGGCAATCTTGCGAGGGTCTGTTTGGACAGTTTGCAGAGTTTTCCCATGCCTGTGGATTACTTGCACATGCACTTTCAAGAAACCATGGTGACTGAAGCCACCCAGCCTTTGAATGCCATCCTTAAATCTCAAACGCACAACAAACTTTCAAGTCAACTCGAAGTGTCGCACCTTCTCCCACTTCTTCAGGTGGGATGGCTTCTGCATCCGCTGCGCGATGTGCCAGGGACTTTGGTCTGCAGAGTTCAGGGCCTGACGCAATTGGACTTCATCTCGCAACGTTGCAACTACAGCCTATGCGCGAATCAAAACTCGTTTGATTGAGAAAAACTTGCTAAAATTGTGTTGGGCTGAATGGCCAGCATACCACATTGTCACTCAGACTACATATCGAGAAAGGCACCGAGTGTCAAAGCTGCAAGCTCTGCATGCTAGGGCGTTGAGGTACGCATGCAGTCAGCAAATTCCCGGCAACCCAAGGCATTCTGTGGCAGGCGTGCAAACTTGCAATCTCCAAACGTTCACAGGGAAGAGCACTAGAGGATCGCTTGATCGCTTCACTTGGAACACTACTTTGGCATCGGTGACTGCTTTATTGATGCCAAATTTGCAGTGCAATGCTCCCCGAGGCGAGTCGCGAATATGCGTTCGCATTTCGCAGGCTCAGCAATTTGCGATGCTATTCGATACTGAGTTGTGTAATTCGCGGTGATGCTCCAAGGCAATGTTACCACCCATCGCCGTTGAGGGGATGCACCGTCGTAGCGCTGCGCCATTTCGCCACTGCGCAGGCTTCACGCGCTCGGGGGATCCGTTTGCTGTCATGACGGCATTCTACTGAGTACTTACTAAACAACGGCTGCTACTTCCACTACCAGTCCGTGGCTGTATCTGTATCGAGGTATCTGCTCGGGTGCCGGCCATTGGGTCCGCTGCCCCCATCTGGACTAGCTCCCAGAGGACGCAAAGCGAGGGGCCTGCCACAAAGGTGCAAATCTTCGCATGTATACGAAGCAGCGAGCAGCCTCCGATCGCTGTGAGCCCGGAGCTTCAGAAATTTGCAAAGAACCGCTTGTCGAATGATGATGCCCCACCCCGCAAGAAACCATGTGCCATGCGTGCAATTATCACGATCTTGAGCAAAAGCTCGCTTCACTCACCTGGCACCTGACACTTCTGCCGACCAGAATCCTTGCCAGTGGTGCCGTAAGGATGTTGTCCCAAGCCAGTCATGTGCATTGGGGTCATTCCCCACCTCGCACGGGTCAGGATTAGTGTGCCCCCAGTCTGCTGAATTCATCGAACGCCACAAAGACGAAATAATGCACAATTTCCGCCTCAAAGAAAAGGCCAGCTTTTGCTCTACGATGCTCCCACATTGCAACCAACGCACGTCTCACCAACAGAGATCAGCCACTACTCCGGCCTGTTTGGCTCCTTGCATTGCTCAAGAGTGGCCTGGAAGACTGGCAAGGTTTTGGAAGCTTTGAGCACACAGACCTGCCGTGTCCTTCAGGGCTGAAGACTCCGGTTTAGATCAGTTGTGCAGACTTGTACACATCTTTTGTCGTGGCCCTGAGGCCCTGAGGCTATGGCCATCGACAAGAGTTTCAAGTCGTCGTGGTATGCGGCCTTTCTTTGTCAGGCAGTGCTGTATACAGGCGTTGTGTGCAACAAAGGGCGCTGCCAAAACATGTTGAAAATGCCGTAAACCCTGACGGCATCAGCGTCCGCTGGGCTTCTGTCGGTCTTGCCGTATTCGGTGACGCTGGCAAAAGGTTGCGTCTGCACCGCTGATGCTCAAATTTACGTGATGTGTTGATGTGTGATTCTTTGACGCAGCATCCGCAGTGGAGTGATGCGCATTTCCCCTGCTGCGTAGCCGGCCTTTGATGGACCCATTGTGACTTGTGAATTGAAAACAGCTGGCAAGAGAACCCCAAGAGCAATTACTTTTGCACGAGGCTAGACTTGCCCGCCGAAACAGATGCAGCCTTGCTGCGCAACATCTACAGTTTACGTAGCGAGCGTCTTCGAAGGACTGCCATCCCGGCGCTGGCCCAAAAACTCTCCTGCATACGACGCAGAACCAGGGACCGAGCTCTCATCTTTGCACCCCACGGCCACACTGCTAAGCGAAATAATCGGTATTACATCACTAGGCTACAGCAAGCCCCGGCGTCTGCATCGTGGCGATCATGCTGACTGAGCCTCCTCGCTCAGCCGGTTGAGGTTCGGATGCATGCCAGGCTCGGTTCCGAACTGCTTGACCACAGTGTGGACACTCAAACGATCTCAAACGGTTGATAGGAAGCATGGAACTGCAAAACCCAAGTGAGAAGCAGTGCGAGTTGACGTATACTAGTAACTCGATGTGGAATATGTGCTGAATTCGAGGCTGGACACGGGAACACGTCATTTCGGGGATCGGGTTTGGGGTCTTCGGCCATTTGTCCACCGAGGCTGCTGCGACGTGGGCCACATTCCACAAATCAAAGTTCCGCAGGCCGTCTGCTGCCATTCCGAAGTAGTCCTCTTTGTTGATGACAATCCTGTGCAGGTTGTCATGGCTGATGTTTGGTCACTGCTGGGAGGACTCTTGGAATATCATGGCTCTTTACGTCGATACCCAGACTTTTCGCGGTGGCTTGAATCCTACCATTATCGTTTTCGTTGGATGGAGCGCTACCTTGCGCTTCAGCCCTCCCTAGACAGGACCAGGAAGTTGCAGGAAAGAACAGCAAAAGAAAGAAACTGTCAGGGACTTCGTGCCTGCGGTTGGCTCGCTCCGGGTGGTAGACCCATTTCCTTGGCTGTACGGCGATTCTCCCGTTGGCCGCCCGGGAACATCATGCAGTGCTTCGATTTTGCGATGCGTCCCCGTCGCTCGGGTCATTGCAGGGCGCAGTGCATTTGCAAGGTCGAGGGCAAAAAGATGGCCGTTTGCAGGGGGCTCGCAGTCTTCAATGAACCTATTACGCTACTTGAGCTTGTGAACCTCGTGGGCTAGCGAGCTCCAGGCCCGCCCAAAAGATCCCGAAAGTCAAGTTGGAGTTTATGCTTCGACTTCAAATCAAAAAGGCCCAGTGTCGGCAGCTTGTAGGAGCCCAGAGGGCGATGTCCGGGCTTGTTTTCTGCCTACCGCCGCACGCAGCTGTGCCAGAGACATCGGTTTGTGTGGCTGTGCGGCAAGCGTCCGAAGCCCTCAGAAATCCCCAAACTCTCGCATCACACTTCGACCTGTATGTGACTACTGACAAGACTCTATTTCGCAACTTCACTCAAAGTTGCTTTGATGTTTTTACTGTCCAGGGCATGAGCCATGTCACGTCTGGGAGGCGGGCTGCTGCTCTGCTGCTACGCGCTCCAAAGAGATGTACAAGTACTACGCAGCAGCTTTGACGTCACCGTATATCGGCAGCCCTACTTCATCCTTTTTGTGGCCAAGTCGAAGGGGTGAGGCAACGTAAAGGCCGCCCACCTTTTGTTCAGGCTCCTTCAGCTGTGCGGGGGTCTCCCCCTCGATGTGGTACTCGGTCCGGCGAAGCGGATTTCAACCGACTCTAATTGAAAAACAGAAGTCGTCTGATAGAGGCATATTGAAGCAAAACCACATGTTCTTGCGGCTTTGGCAAAAGCCATGCCAGAAGCAGCCGCATCTGAATCTGGGCTAAGGCTTCTTGGGCATTCTTGGGCGCAAGCCCAATCGCCGCCTTGCAACACCGGCATGGCCTGTCATGACGGGGTCTGAAGGTTGGTCCGGCTCAAGGGCCGAAAGGGTCCAACCGATTCCGTCCTCTAGCACAGCCTCTAAGCCTGCAAGCATGTACTCCATGACGCGACTTGAGAAACAGTGAAACGAGTGGTGACTGCAAGTAGGCTGTTGCTCTGGATCTTCTGCAGCAGGAACGGCTGGCGAAATCGTAAAATAGAGGCTCCAGACTGTCCTGTAGAAGCCTCACCGTAACCCACTCATCCCGAACTCTGCAAGCTAGTGTCGGCAAGAGCCAGACTTCAAGCCCCATGCAAGATTACCGGCGGAACACAGCACTCCTGGGAGAACCTTCCGAAGAGCCGCACACTGCAGCTAGCATGACTCAAAATGCAAAGCTCGAAGCCTTTTTTGTGCAACCAACGGCCTGGCTGGAAACTCCCGAACTGTTGCTGGGGCACGGGCTCTCAGAGTGCCGGGGCGGCTTCCAGGCCAAGGCACGGACGCGTTTGAGCCGCAATGCGAAGATGTCCGATGCCCAGTGCACCACTAGCTCGGGAAGGGGGATCTGCTTCTAGTGCGCGAATAAGGCAACGGTACTGTGGCACGCTTGGGAATGTGCTCTTGTCAAGGTGTCTACACTCGCTCGGTTGAAAATCGAAGCAAAAAGAGCAGCTCACACACACTGTCGCGGTAGCATCCTGGTTTGCTTTTTAGGAGTGTGTGTGTGTGTGTGTTCTCATCAACTGTTGAGACTCTAGCCATGGTGTGAGAACCTTCGGAGCCTGAGACACAAGGTTTAGCTTCTGAGTGGCTACTAGCACAACAACATCCAGCTGGGTCGTGTTGGGCCTGCATCGGCCTGAGGCCCGAACCTGTGACACATCCGCCGGTGCAATCCAGCGAACGAATCCACCAAGCTGCTCTGCGTCGAGGTCCTTTTGAATCACCATCATGTCACAGCTTGAAGTTACTGCGACCCCGTGGTTGTCCGCATATCACGTGTTCGCACTAATGCTTATGCAGATCGTGTAGACTCGGGACACTATGATGATCCCACGAGATCCAACAGGAGAAGTTGGACTACAAAGCCAGAAAGCCGGGAAGCATGCCTTGTCCACGAAGTCCAGGTCGGTGACGCGAGAGAACACATCAACGATAGGCCTGAGTGGTACGTCGCAGCCACGATGCTGCCATCCTTGCAACCCTTGCTGCCAGCGTGTTTATCTTCAGTGGCTTTTCTCCTGACATCCCCGTACCTACCAGGCCTCGCCTGAAATCGATCAGGACTGATACCGAGGACACTAGGAATGGTTACACCGTGTACACCCCGCAGTTCCGGCTTCGGCGATGGAGGAAAAGAACTTGTGTAAATTTTGGCCGTGTGAAGAATTTGCTCACAATGCTGGGTAGCATGTCGCAACAGAGGTTTGCGTTTGGCGAAGCTTGCGATGCAGAATGGCTAGGCCTTCACAGCCGCTGCCATCCCGCATACCAAACTTGCAGCGTCTACCAAACTTCCGTGACAAGCACTCCGCAGTTGCAGCCAACCCACACTGCTTCTGGGATGGAGGATTCCCCGAAGTCCGACCTGACAAATTTGGAGACTGCCGTTAATCTTCAACTCGCTGCGATGTCTCTCACTGTCTCTCACCATCACATCGATGAGCCGTACAGTTTGATACTTGATAGTTTCCCCAATAGCTTCTGGTCCGGTCTGATGATGAGGGTTGCTTTACAGATCGCTTGTGCTTATAACTTCGGCTTTGGGGCACGAAAAGACGAGACCCGATGGCACTTGAGAAAGGCACACAAGCTTCAGCAATTCGAATGTGTGGTTGAGCAAGAATTTAAAGCCAAAGCGTGTCGAAGCGACAGTTCCGGCAGCCTTGGCAGCTACTGGTACTGGCAGCAATAGGACATATTCATACTGCATGCCGCTTGACGCCTGTCAGGTAAGCAACATTTCAACCAAAGGCATGTCAAAGAGAGAGCCTTGTGTAGACCAGCACGTGGGTGTAGTTTCCCAAAGGGGAATCGGCTGAGATGTCCAAGGAGTTGGCCCCAACCTTGTGTAAGTGTCTCTTGCACTTCTGGCCAGGAGCTTGCTGTAACCAGCTAGCAGCAGCGAGCATCGGCGCCCGGTTGGCAGTCCGGGGTCCAGGACAATATAAAATTCGGGGGAACTGTGGTTACAGCAGATGGCGTCAGGGCAAGCTTCAACACCTCGGCTTCGAAAGACTCCTGCCGACATGAAACCTCTCGCTCGAAAGCTTTGATCCTCAACTCCTCCAGAAACGCCTCGAATTTCTGCAGTCGTCTTTGTGACGGGCGGCTGTGACATTTCCGAGCAAAGACCGGCTCGAACCCGTGGCAGAGACCTCGCAGACCAGACCATAGCTGGGACAGCGGTCACTTCTCAAGCTTCAGAGCTGCAAATAGAGTCCCCAAGCTCCGAACGGCCAGGTAGAGCACATAGCCTGCCCGTGCACGTCACTGCATTCATACTCGGCTAGCATCTGAAGCGGACTTGGCGTCGAGCTGGAAGGTGAGCACTACCGTCTGAGGCGTTGCAGGGCATATAATGTTGCCTTCCCGACCTGTCTTCACTGCATTCCATTGCGATCTATTCGCCAGCAGCACATGCGCAGAGACTCTGTAACTCCAGATCCCCAAGGTGCAGGGAAACAACTGCGTTTCGAGATCTTCTGCTGTGCCTTCCAAAACTCCAGGATCTTCTGGCGGCGTCCAGCTCACCTCAGCATGCTTTCTCGCAGAATCTCCAGTCAGTAGTCGCGACTGCTGCGTGAACGGCTGTCCGACTCTCCGGCCACAGTTTGCCTTGCTTTGCCAAATCTTCAGTACGTGACCGAACCATACAACACCTAATCATCAAGACAAAAAGCCCAGCAAGCAGCTTCGTCCTGAACCAATCCCCAAACAACCGTACCCTCCTCCGTCGAACACACATGCACAGAATCACAGCCTCACCTTCCCACCAATCTCCCAGTCGTCCAGGTCTTGATCCAGGAAGGAAAGGTCCCGAACCTCCGGTGGTTCTTGTTCGAATCGTTGCAGGTTGATGTCTCCCTGAGAGCTTTGGGATGATGTCTCGGCCCATCATTTCTTCGTTCTTACACCTGCGGAGTGGGGCCGGTTAGCAAGTCTCACTTTGCGAGAGGTTGGGAAGACGGTAGATCCAGCGCTCGAGTTCCAATCGTGAAGAACCCCTTGAATGCAGTGTCCCCGGACTGAAACAAGTCACCAATCTTCCTTGCCGGGGAGATCGTCTTACAGTAAAGAGCGATGAAAAAGTCTGCGGTACAAAAAAGTTTCCGGTCTGCACATGTCTGAACCAGAATGGAGCGAGAACCTACTTCCGGAAAAGGCTGGAATGTGCAGCCGGAGCCCCCGACGGGCTCACAACAAACTCTACAACCTTCAACCCTAACCGTGATCCTGATTCCCCGTGCAGGCCAGCAAGGAGGAGTCGTTGAAGAACAGCGCCACGGGAGTACTCTGCTCGAATGCAATGGACTGGCTGTAGGTGAGAACGTGTGTGAAAGCCTGGAAGAAGCTGAGGTTCAGTGGCTTGGCGAGACGCTGGTAATTGAAACAAGCTTCGAGGTATGTTGGGCAGCTTTGAGGATGAGGTACAAGCAAGAGGAACAAGCATGAATTAGTGTCATCTCCACTGGTTCGACGCCTGCACCACAGATTCACAGCAGCAGTGACACAAGAAATCCGGTTGGTATTCGTTTCGGCCTGCACCGCTCTCGTTCAAGTTTCTGGTTCAGGCCTGGTTGAGGGCTCGCATTGAACGAGCGCCGCACGCGACCATCATTGGGTGACAAACTGTGTTTAGAAATGGCAAAAAGGAACGAACAGAAATCCGGGACCCCGGCACCAAGAATGGTGTCCAAGGGAATGTCAAGCCTCATGGCTTTGCCCGAGGATTTAAAACTGAACCCTCAGCTTCAGACCATTTCAGACGCGGTACGCTACAGTGTGATCCATGGTTTCAGTCACACGGCTTTTAAAGGCGTGGGAGACTCTCCCGCTTCCCGTGCTAAGCAGGCTAGAGTGGCTTCTCGGTCCCTTGCTCTGACAACCCCAGTCGGCACGTGCCAGGAACCGTAGTCACGTTCTAGTTGGGATGTGTCGAAGCTTGCTAGGTTGAACCCGGAAACAGCCAGTCGCCAGCCATAGACTGTGGGGCGGGCACAGGTGTAGTGACAGCGGGTGCAGGTGCCGTTCCCACCAAAGATCTTCCTGCACTGTTCGGAGACAGTCTGTCGTCGTAAGAGCAAAATGCAACACGATTTGCCTCGAAAACCACCGTCGAGACAGGAGGTCATAACACGGAACGCCTTAACTAATGAAGCGATCTGACGAGCTCTTCCGCGCACCCTGTCCTGTTCCGGTGGCGGTGGCGGACAGGTACACAGCCTGTCTTAAATCGCATCCGTGAAGCAACCAAACGCATGAACACTTTACGGAAGGGCTCCAAGGAAATCCTATGCCCACTGACTAGATTACACATGAAGACGTGCGTGAATATATACACAAACTTAAACTTGCATCGAAGCACGTCCTTTCTCTTTGCGTCCCGCACAGGCTATCCTTTTGCGATGAGGCACAGCAAGTACCCCACAGGTTCACCCACATACCAAACACGACGAGGGCGGCATAAAGAACCACCCGTGCAAGATCCTGGCTTCAAGGGCGATGCATAGCACTCCACATCCGAGACTGGCTCAGGGCAAGTCAAAGTAACACAGCGGATGTGCAAGCGAAGCAACCGTCTGCTGGGAAGCCTCTGCAGTGGCTATTGGGTACGTGGGGCAGTGCACTCGGGAGCCCTGCACTCGCGAGCGCTGTCATGGATCGATTCTAGATCGAAAGAGATGTCTGGGGCCTCTAGAGACTCTAGGGCCTAGGGTCTGGAACTGTCGAGCTGGCCACTCTTCGTCCGCCTCGCCTCCGGTGGTTCCCAGGACACTTGTCCACCGACTTC